TCGTCCGTGTATGATTATCTCACCCCCCACTTTCTTACTGGATACTATTGTCGTTGAAGATCTATCATTGGTTCGATAATCTTGGCTTTCAGTGTTGACATTGTATCCACGACTTGGGTTCATTGCACCAGTCATTCATGCACCGGCCGAAACCATTGGATGCCACTAGTCCATCTAGCCATCTCGCTGCCGATCCCTCAAGATATGAGGCGGCAGTGATCACCTCTTCCTCTCGCAACGTCCTCTTTGCCCTTACCCACATTGGAACCGTTCTCAACCACGGGTTGAGTGCCTCATCCTTCTTGTCTCCTGAGAAGGTCTGCGGTGGTTTGAATGGGGTCTTGGGGTACCAAGGCTGTTGTGGTCCCATTGGTGGGACCGGCTGCGGCCCCGTAGCTGCAGCAGCTGGACCTGAGGATGAAGAAGCAGCAGTCTGTGCTGCTGCTGCTGACGTACCACTCGGTGTGATGCCAAATTGAGGGACAAATGGGCCTGTCGTCGCTGGTAATGGAAGCGGCGATGGCAAAGCTGTTGTGGCCTGATACTAGGCCCGCCTGTTATGGAAGGGATCATTCTTCCCTTCCCCTGCATGGCACTCAGTATCTGGTCAAGGGTGTCCTGGATATCATCCAGTTTGCTGTCCATGTACGCATACATGCTCAGCATACCCGCCTTGAGGATCTTACTCGTGTCGTCAAGGGTTGAGTCATCTAACCCTTCCAATGCAGCTTTGTCTTCCCTTCTGTTCTCTAACCTGACTTTCCTATTTCTAATCTCTGTTTCCCTTTCGGTAGCTTCTCTAAGTTCCTTCTCTAACTGTAAGCGGATGAACTCCACTTGCTGGAGTTCTAAGGCCTCTCTAGTGAGTGGAGGTGGCTGGTTGTACTGCGAGCCTGCCATCTGACTGGAAGAAGTGCCTGCACTCATCCTGCTAGACGTAGCCTGCGAACTGGTCAGCATGCCTAATGTCTGCTGACCCTGAAACATAGCAGCAGAGGTAGCCATAGCTCAAACAGTTGCTGCTGCCGCTGCCAGTACTTGCTCCGCTGCTGCTGCTGCTTCCCTAGCCCTTTGCAAACGTTCAGCAGTTGCCTCCCGTCGTATCTCTCTCTCACCCTCAGGTGGTAAGGCCTGGTGCACGATGGGGATCCTAAGTGATTCCTCACGTGTCACCCTTCTACCTTCAGGTCTGTCCTCCCCACGACCTGATCCACTCATCAGTTATGCAGCTCACTATCTGCACTAGCGCTCTCACTGGAGCCTACCACAGCATGTGTCTGACCGTGTTGAAAAATAAATTAAATTAAATAACTAGTCGGCAAGTCACCCAGGCTACCGATCAAGTGGTGTCAACAGCATTTACACAAACTGAGCAGATGATCCATTCCTACTTCAATTAGTTCTCTTACAACAGCATCAAACAGAACTGGCTATGGTAGTATACTACAGTTCTATTCTATAGCTCTCTGTTAGGTGTTAGCAGTCGGTTCACCATAACTAATCAAAAATAAAAATAAATCAATTGCACAGATGTATGCAGAAATGGAAGTACTCTTGAATATGATCGAACTTCAATTGGAACCTTCCCTCCTGTGTATCCAACGAACCTGATGGCTCCATTGAGCAGCAGTGTCTATCATGTGCACAACGGCCCACCCCTGTCCCCAGGAACCCGCTTATGACCAGTTCTGACCCTTTGTTTATCCTCGCATGCAACGAGCCTTACATCTGATGATCTGGCTGATCAGGAGGCAATTTAAGGACAGCCCCCGAAGTCCTCAGGAATTATTTAACGTCGCAGACAGGACGAGGATCACAGCCAGAAATCAGATTCCCGCCAGAGGTTCTTTATAGACGGTCTGGTGCACGTCTCGCATAGGACTGGCCAGTCCACCTTCCCTCTATGGCGCAGCAAGAGCTTAAAGGACAAAGCAGCAAAGCATGCATGCTTTACTCCCATGGGTTGGCATGGTGACCGTGACCCATACTTCGACCAGGGCCCTTCAGAGGCACCGCCCTCTCCTTCCAGATGCGCACCAGGACTGTCGACTCTCAAGGTAGAGCGCTCACGACTTCTGAACCAGAAGAGGACACTCAAGTTGGACTCACTTCCTCACGGTAAGAAGAGATTGGGATGGGAAGATAAGGTAAGGGAACAACGTACCTGAAGATAGCTGCCCCCGACCACAGATTTCTCACCAATTGAGCCGACGTGCATTTTGATGACCAATCATAGCCTTGGTACCACACACAATGAAATGGAGTGCCACCTTAGCCAAAATGCATTGTCAGCATGTTCTCATAATCCCACATACATCTGCTGTTGCCACAGCTCCCACGCTGTCGCCACAGCCTTCCTGCCAGACTCCCCTCTAGCCTCGGTACAACACACAATGAAATGGAGTGCCACCTTAGCCAAA